AGGGTGGGGTGACCAGCCTTTTCTGGGCACTATGTAAACATCACACCCAGTCCAACCAATCTGTGAGCCCTATGTAAATCAGACACCACCTCCTAAAGCCTGTCTATAAAACCCAGTGCACTCTGTCATGGGCTGGAATTCCCATTGAGGAGCCCCTCTGTCTCGAAAGAGAGCTGCTCTCCTTTCTTTTATCTATTAAACCTCCGCTCCTAAACTCACTCCTTGTGTGTGTCCACGTCCTTAATCTTCTTGGCGCGAGATGATGAACCTTGGGTATTTACCCCAGACAACAACACTGCTTCATTTTCACTTCCCAAACATGGCCATTTGCTACATACACACCTTAGTTCTTGGAGGCCCAACCTTTCTCCTATGTAGAAAGCTTTCTTCACCATGTCTACCTATAAGCTCCCGCAAATCCAAGATCTTCCCTTTAGTCTTTTCTTACCTTCAACACCTTAGATAAAATGAAGTTTTCTTTCATCTGTGGCACCATAGTCCTTTAGCTATTATAATCTATTGTACCACTTTGTAACAGGGTGTCTGGCCTACGCTGCAAGTCCTATTCAAATGAGTCTCGACAGCAGGACTGAAAACTCCCTCTCTAATCATGGACACTCTTGTGGGTCTGTTTGCACCCACTGGTTTTGATGGGGGTTAAGGAATCTAGGTGGTGATAGGTAGAGGACTCTAAGAGTGGCCAGGAATGAGGTTCAGACGATATAGCTAAGCCTGATCTGAGGACCTATGAGACCCCCATGAAGAAAAGCTGCCTCAAAGAAGGAGTCCGGCTCTGTCACATTCAGCCACAAGGTCTATAAGTGCGAGGGGAAGTGGTGGTTTGCAGGGGAGTAGAATGGCCGTTATCTGAAATCACTGAAGCCCAGCCAATCTGTTGGTACATATACACTCTAAGGGCTAAAAGGCTGTTGTTTCCAAGCAAAAACTGCTATTCTAGTGCTCTGTTTGAGACCTCTTTAGAAAACTAGAACTCAGTGGCAGGAAGCCAGTATTCCCACTAGCAGAAGAAAGGAAGTCAATCTAAAGCACCAGCAGCACATCCACCAATACCCCAGACACAAGCAACAGCAGCACCAACAGCATTTAGAGCAGAGCTGAGCAGGAGTGGTAGAAAACAGCATATGCCAAGGGGTTTGCACATGAGAGTAAGAAACTGAGTGTAAAGCAGATGCAGCAGGGTCGCCAGCGGTCTAGACCAACAAATAAGGGCACAGGAGACCCACCGTGGGTCTGGTTTAAAATGGGAGCAGCAGGTGGGCACAGTGGCTCACGCCTGTCAACCTAGTGCTTTGGGAAGCTGTGGCAAGCAGATCACTTGAGGTCAGGAGTTAGAGACCAGCCTGGTCAACAGGGTGAAAACCCATCTCTACTAAAAATACAAAAATTAGCCAGGCATGGTGGTGCCCTCCTGTATTCCCAACTACTTGGGAGGCTGAGGCAGGAGGATCACTTGAGCCCAGGAGGCAAAGGCTGCAGTGAGCTGAGATTGTACCACTGCACTCTAGCCTGGGCACCAAAGCGAGACTCCGTCTCAAAAAATTAATTAATTAATTAAATGGGAGCAGGAAGAAGACAGTGAAGAAGAGGAGATAGAAGTCCTCTTCTTCCACAGGCTATTCTTTGTATTCCTATTATTTGTGCACGTGACTGGGGATTGGCATTCCTAGGTACCATGTACATCTGTGAGATTGCCATGCTGCGGAGATCCACACGTCAGAAAAATGCTCCCATACGCGGCGCAACCACCATGAAACGCGGCAGTTAGAAGCTGCTGCATGATAATTACTTGATACTGAGAAATTTCCACTGGTAATAGGAGGTTCGTAAAAAGGATTCCTTGGTCCAGTGAAGACTGTTTTAAGCATAAGCATATTTCATCTGCAGAATAACTTTTATTTAAAATTTTTGAAAAGGAAAAGCTACACAAAGATGAAAGTTTTGTAGCTTGGAATGAAGATGGTTAGGATGCTGTAAGAGTGTCCACAAATCCATACATTGTAGATGATGTTAGTTTCATCTAACGTAAAGTCCAGACTGCTACTAGCTAACAGACATGGATGCATTTCAGACTATCTGGAAAGAGCAAAGAACATATTCACTTTTCCCACATTCCTAAAGGGAGTCAAATGATGCTAGATCTTGTTCATCCCCCACCTCTAGTCAATTTTTTTAATTTGCAAGTACCACCTGTAGTGAAACCATATTTATGGTATACTTGCTTAGGTTCAGAATTATGTATTTAAGATGTACACGTTAATGTATTTATATATTAATTCACGTTCCAAGGAATAAATGATAAAACCTCATGGATTCAAAAATTACATAATTTATATCATTAATCTCATGTTGAAATCAGTGTAGGAGACTATTTGGGTTCGAGGTTTGCATAAAAATTAAAAGTATGTATCATTCATATTTACAAAGGCATTTCAAGTGACTGCTAGTTGTTTTAAGTGTGAATTTATTAAACGGCTGAACTATCAAATCAGACACTAATCTTCCTAAATTTGGATGGAGAACAGCTCAAGAAGAAGGCTCTTCAAGTGAGAAGCAGTTGTACAAAATATTCTAGAGTCTTCTCCCCCAGATCCACTTCTTCTTTGTCTTATTTCAGTTCTCAGTGTCATTGTTGAAGTTATGGATACAAGGAAAATTCCCCTTTAAAAATCCAACTAATGGCTGGCCACGGTGGTTCACACCTGTAACCCCAGCACTTTGGGAGGCCAAGGTGGGTGGATCACCTGAGGTCAGGAGTTCGAAACCAGCCTGGCCAACATGATGAAACCCCGCCTTCCCTAAAAATACAAAAATTAGCCACACATGGTGGTGCATGCCTGCAATCCCAGCTACTCGGGAGGCTGAGGCAGGAAAATTGCTTAAACCCAGGAGGCAGAGGTTGCAGTGAGCAGAGGTCATGCCACTGCATTCCAGAGCAAGACTCCATCTCAAAAAATAAAAATTAAAAAAAAAAAATTCATCACTAACAAAAATAAAATGTCATTAACTTATTCCCGAAAAGATACACGTCTTTCGTTTTTAAAAAGACCTTTAAACTTGCACAGGAAATTTATATTAATATAGAAAATACAGAGTCATCAGAAACCATCCAATTTAAAGCTGGGTGCAGGTGTGCACACCTAGAATCCCAGCTACTCAGGAGGCTGATGCAGGAGGATCTCCTGAGCTCAAGAACTCTAGATCAGCCTAGGCAACACAGCGAGACTCCAGCTCAAATTAAAAAAAAAAAAATCAAATTTAAAAATAGATTTGAATTTCTAAGGAATCTAGAGATGTAGCAAAGGATTTGGAGATTCCCAGCTCTCCTGAGTTTAAGACAAATACTCCTAACTCTGGAGGGCAGATGTGACTTGGGTGGGCTTTCTGCTCAACAGATGGCCCCAACTGCCATCTTATCAACCTACATGTCACCTGTGTTATGTTAGACATAACAGACCGTCATCTCCCTCCCAAGGATGAAGTAGAAAGTGACAGGCTCAGATTCTGCAATTTCCTAGTGGCCTCCACCTCAGTTTTGTTTTCCATCTGAGTAGCAAGAGTGACTGGAAGGTACTGGTATCTGACCGATAAATGACTGACGGGCTCCAGTGGTGACCCCGTCACTCTGAAGCTGTCTCCTGAGCCTCACTCAGTTGACTCCATTCACCCCATCAGAAAACAACTGACAAACCTTACCCATTTCAAATGCACAACATGACAAAATCTTAGCCACAAGGTAACTAGCATACAAATATTGCCAATTAAACACAGATACTACTGCATGAAATTTAATAAAAGTTGGAGTAATTTATGACTAAATAAATAAAATATTCTGTTAACAAAATACCTTTTTGTAAGGGCCAATCTGTATTTAGTTTCAACTCATCACTTTGGAGGAGATGTGGCATATCTTGTTGGGTTTTCTTTAAATTTTATTTTTTTTATAGGGATGGCATCTTGCTATGTTGCTCAGGCTGGTCTCAAACTCCTGAGCTCATGCCATCTTCCCATCCTGGCCTCCCAAAGTGTTGGGATTACAGGCGTGAGCCACCACACCCAGCCATAGCTTGGTTTTATTAGTGTGATCTTTGGTATTTTTATAATTCACAATTAAAAACACATAATTGGGGAGGAGGGAGGGACAGCATTAGG